TGAAACTGTAGTAGATTTAGTAGATACGTGTGTACCTGAAAATGTACAAAAAACCTATTTTAGGGGTAAAAGCACATTTGTACCTCCACCTAATCGAAATAATTCAATTGAAACCTATTGTAGACTTGTAGAACATGATGTGGACGCTATCCTGAAAAGTAAAAATAGTTGCCAAATTCACAAGAATTTAACTATGGAAGAACTGTCTGCCTTAGATGATCTACAGAAGGATGAGTCTATAATTATAAAACAAGCTGATAAGGGTGGGGCTATTGTACTAATGAACAAATCTGATTACATAAATGAGTGCCTGAGACAATTATCAGATGACAAGTTCTATGAGAAACTTCCAAGGGACCCCACGGAGGATTTTAAAAACTCCATTCATGAAGCACTAAACATCCTGTTACAGAATGGGGAAATCTCAGAAAATGAATATGAATTTTTAAAAGTGGACCATCCAGTGGTCCCCACTTTTTATACATTACCTAAAATACACAAAAGCCTTGTAAATCCACCAGGTAGACCTATTGTAGCCAGTATAGGCTCTCTAACATCTAACCTATCCATTCTTATGGATAGCATTATAAGACCTGCCGTTGAGACATTGCCTTCTTTCATTAAGGACACAGGGCATATAATAAACATGATTGAATCTGTAGATTTTATGTCCAGCGAAGATGAATGGTACTTGGTCTCTTTTGATATAAATGCTATGTACACTTCCATACCACATGATGGAGGTATTGAGGCTATGAAGCATTATGTCTCAAAAACAAATATTGAGGTACCCTCTATAAACTCCATTTTGGATATGGCATGGTTAATACTAAACAACAACTATTGGGTTTTCCAAGATACCTTTTATATCCAGAAACATGGAGTACCTATGGGTAGCCCATTTTCACCATCCTTCTGTAACTTGTATATGGGCCTATTTGAGGAAAAGTTCATTTACTGTGACTATGAATTCAAACAAAATGTGTGCATGTGGAAGAGATATTTGGATGATGTATTTTGCTTATTCAAGGGTACAAAACAAAGACTTGAAGCGTTTTTTACATATTTGAACTCCTGCTGCTCATTTATATCATTCTCCATGGACTTTGATCAAGCGCGCTTGAGTTTTCTGGATTTATGGATTATTAGAGGGGAGAATCAGCTGTATACGGACTTATACAAAAAGCCTACAGCAAGAAACTCATTACTTAGAGCCGACTCCAACCATCCACTTCCACTGAAAAATAGTCTCCCATACAGCCAATTTTGTAGGCTTAGGAGAATATGCCACAATAATGAAGACTTTGAAAGAAATCTAGGCAACATGACGACAAACTTTGAGCAAAGAGGATATAAAAAAACTGTTCTGAATGACGCTGCCACAAAAATCAAGGGTAAGCCAAGATCTGATTTTCTTAGGGTAAATCCCCCAAAAACTGCCTCAAAACGGACTATATTCTTTACTGTTTATTCTAAACCTGCTGAACAGTTCAAAAAGATTATATCAAAACACTGGCATATACTACAGACTGATTCAGCCTTGGGGGGAGCTTTTAAAGAGCAGCCCCTGGTGGTCTACAAAAGAGGAAGAAACTTGAGGGATAGACTTGTACATTCCTATCTTCCCCCAAATCCAACCACTACAGGCCAAACTATCCTGACTCCTATCCCTGATGGCAATCGGCGGTGTGGTGGATGTAGTCAGTGCAATTACACCTATCGGTGCACCAATTTCAAGCATCCCCACACTGGTAAAGTTATACCCATAAAAGGAATTATATCCTGCAATACAAAATCTGTTATTTACATGATCACTTGTCCTTGTGGTAAAGCCTATGTAGGAAAAACCAGCAGGGCTTTAAAAACACGTATTGCAGAACATAGAAGCACTATCAGATGCAAAAACTTAAATTACCCTGTAGCAGCTCATTTTATAGAATTCAATCATCCAATCTCTTCATTAAGATATATTGGTATTGAACATGTAACGCTACCCCCAAGAGGTGGAAACCTGGAAGTGCTTTTGTCTAAAAGAGAGCACTTTTGGATCCATCACTTAAAGACTTTAGCTCCTTATGGACTAAATGTGGACTTTGACCTCAGATGTTTCTTATGATTATCTGTATACATTTTATAAGTTGATTTCTTCTATGTATTAATTCTGCTTTTTGATTTTAGACTGGCTGAATTCACTGGGTGTCACCACACTGGGACCTCCCACTCGTTAGAAGGGGCTTATAGCACCTGGGTTGGCACCATTTTGTATATTGTGATCCAAATGAACAAGATAAAAATGATCTGACGAAGGCTAAGGCCGAAACGTTAATAAATACTAGATCTTTTGGACATCTATCCGAGTGTGCTGTGTATTTTCCACATGCAGTTTCAACAATAACATAAAGTACAATAGTCTACATTAAACAGAGTAATAAACATGTCCCAGAGTGAGGGAGGTGGGCACAGACAACACTATTGTTTGTTACAGGGATGAGAATTGGTAAACATTTCTGAAATGCATATTGTCAGCCATTAGCTGGCTCTAAATCTGTTTAATCTGTTCACAACATTTTACTTTTGGGCTCAAACATGAACTTTTAATGCAATGGAAAATTTAGGTATACCCGAGCTTTAATTTAGAGGAGAGGGGAGACGCGGACTGTTTTCTGCAGCGGTGTATTTATTGGGTGCACAAATTACGCAAAGACATGCATGGTTCTGTGCGCGTTTATGGTCTTGGGTACATGGTCACGTTGCGGCTACGCGCTCACCGTGTTGTGTTGTGAGCGGTTCCTGCGTCCAGCTCAGAGCCGCTGGATGCGGGAACACTGCGGCCGCTGAGGTGGTGGAATCCCGTTCGAGTACATACAGCAGGTGCCCCGCGGACACGCGCGCTCCCCTCAAACATTTCAACGGATTTACACTTTTCACAAACATGTTTTTTGTATGAGGCAGACAGACCGGCCCAAATATGGGCATCGGCCCTTCGGGCATTGCCCGGTACGCCCGATGGCCAGTCCAGCCTTGCGTGGCAGGATCAGGAGACACTTTGATCACAGCAGACGGCACATTCCTGTCTTTTACAAAACAAGTTTAAAGGTAGTCTGTGTCAGGTATTTATCAAATATTTACAAGATATGGACAAAATTAGTCTTGAAGCTGGTGAACTCTCCCCTCAGTATTCGTTTTCTCAGACAGAAAAGTGAAACCAGTAAAGCACCATAGGAGCCTCACAACTATAACACAATGTAAAGTATTAAAACCAGGAAGAGACTTTAGAAACGATACTTTGTCCCTGAGTTTTGTGGGAAGCAGCACAGGACGTCAGGTGTAAGAAAACATTTTATTTTTCATAAATTACAGATTTAAAAAATACGAACAAAAAAAACAAGGCTATAAACAACGTTCACAGGAATAGTCTCAACATGAAACAGCCTGATGCAAAAGTGAAGTAGTGGGACCAGGGCTTCGGGGCCAGTGTCGTCATCAGCACAGCAGCAGCAGCGACTCTTCACTCTGAGATCATACTAACGCCAACAGCTACTGTGACATCACACACCAGAGGACAAGCAACAACACCATCAGGGGCCTCTGTTCCACCAGCCCTACCCTACCCGGTTCAGTTTCCATTATGGACTCAGAACCAGAGCCAGGGCCAAGAGGGACTAAAGTGTTCTCATTAGGAGTCAAATGGTACTGAATAAAGCCCTGGTGCCAGATAAACAAGGCCATTGGGCAGACCAAGGGCAGGTGGAAACTGGGATTATTTATCAACAACCTTCTCTTTGCTCAGCAGTACACAAACACACACAAACACAGGACTCTGCAGTAACACCAGCGTCCACACGGGGGCGCCACCGCTTCATAAGCACAGAGTAACGTCAGCGGCAGAGCACGAGCCCAAACCCGCAGCGTGAACGTCGGTCTCTGGTTTAAAAGGCCAAAGGACAACGTGGCTCTTCACCAGTGAGAAACTACACAATAAATAAAAAATGTGCTTAAATACATGAACGAGGAAGTTAAATTTGGATCGAAGTCTGTGGAGACAAATGTGAAAACCCTGAGGCCAACGCTTACACCCTTTACACCAGAACTCCCCGAGCAGTCGTTTGACGGCTTTGAGTTTGGGAAGCTCGACTACATCTGTGGTCTTCTGGACTTTGAAAGATTAACTACATAAAGGAGACACTAAAGTCAATTTTCTGTGGGGCCCAGACCCTCGGGGCCCACCCACACCATGCATTTTAAGTTAGAGTCCACCAGTTTAAGCATTTATTAAAGATTAAAAACGCCTTAAGTCTCTAAATTTTAATACAAATTGTGGCAAACTTTTATGATTGATCAGAGAGTTCTGGTGTTTATGGTTTAGTCTTCAGGAGTCGACCGGAGAAATGCTAAAGCCACAGTCTCTCACCTAAAGGACACTCAAGACTTCAGTTTAAAACCACTAATAATTATCAATAAAAGTTTTGTTTGATCGTTGGCACTAAAACCTTCAGACGATGAGATTCAAAGAAAATCCATGTCAATTACTTCAGAATTAGCTCGTAAACTACCAGGATTTGAGATTTTTGGTCGACTCAAAAGGAGGAGGCAGCTCTGAAATGGGAGCGAGGACTAGAAGCGGCAACGAGGCAGAGTTTCCCACACTGGTCAGTAGGTCCAGTCTGAATGTGCGTTAGAGTCAAGACAGTTGTACATCCAGGTTAACCCTTCGGGCGCCATAGAACTACACAAGCTTCAGAATACAGGACACTTTCTATACAGCAACTTGGCTTCACACATTCGTCTCCCTACACTTTTCTTATATCATCATTTCTTCAATAAGACATTTCCATGACTGAGTAACGTAGTCCGCCATCTTTGGTCTCGACACCAGTGTTTTTATAAGAATGTCCTAAATAACAAAGGGTTAAGACGGGTTTTTATGCCAAGTCTCGGTCGTGGTGCGCCCCCCGTGGACTCTACAGACGCACAGCTCTAGCCCACGCCTCCGGTCTCCCTCAGTCCCGTTTGCAGTGACCGTTGGAGTGTCCGTTGGCCGTCTCGCCGTCAGTCTCGGCGCCCTCGTTGGCCCGCATCATGGCGTTGTTGGCGCCGCTGATGACGCCGTTGGTGTGGTGAGCCCAGGTGCAGGCCTGCAGGACCTTGGGCAGCCGCTTGCCCTTGGTGTAGGCGTGGTAGTAGAAGTTGAGGAAGAGGAAGAGGAAGATTATGCCGTAGGAGCTGATGATGTACATGAAGATTGGGAACTGGTACGGGCAGTCCATGAAGAAGTACTGACAGATGTGGGTGGTTACCATGACGAACTGGATCTGAGGAAAACACAGCTACAGGTCACACACGCCCTTCACAGAACAGAAACCAGAGGACAGCAGAGCCCTGGACCAGTGGACCCATACAGTCTACATGGTAAGAACCAGCTGGGGTCAGTCTAGTCAGTGTGTGAGGTACCAGTTGGGGTCAGTCTGGTCAGAGTGTGTGAAGCACCAGTTGGGGTCAGTGTGTGTGAGGTACCAGTTGGATGGCCGTCAGGTGCTTCTTCCACCACAGGTACTTCTGGTACTGGGGCCCCATGGCGCTCAGACCATAGTACGTGTACATGATGACATGGACCACACTGTTCAGCAGAGCGTGGAAGGTCCCCATGCCTCCTGCAAACACACATGGTACATACTATGAAGGTTCTGCATCAGTAAAACCAGCAGCAGAGCACACGGTCACGCAGAAAGATTAGCTCTAAACTAACTCAGATCTCGGCATACACTGGAAAACTGGTCCAGCCTCACCTTGGGTTTATCCCCAAGAAGAAGATTAGAGCCGATTTAAAACCAGCACCATGAGCAATAATCTGAGCCAAACTCTCATAGCAACTACCCGGCAACCAATAGACCAATCAGGAGCAGTGTCCGTCTGAAAGATCCTAGAGTTTGTGTCATGACCACACCTGGTCAGACCATGGATGTGAATGATTTAGGTTAATTTATTTATTTGATATGGACACAACAGTGACATTGGACAGACCTGATGCAATACCTTTAGACCATGCTAATTTTCAACACTTGTCCATAGAAGTAGCCTAGTCTTAACACACCATAGTACAAATTTAAATGTTGTACTAAGGTCTGGGTTTGCTCCATTGACTCCGTGAACAGGTGGGAGGGGCTAACTCCTTTTGCAGATTGAAACCATTGGATCCGAGTTTACTGTGACATATGTAATGCGCCAGAGTGAGTTTTAGCATTTAGCCTAGCTTTAGCCATCTCCTTTGCTGCTAACGAAGCCCGTGGGGAGTAGCGCCACAATCTCTAGCAGAGATTACCTTTGCTAAACATTCCTCTTGCTTCAAATTTCTTGATAGAACGGGTTACTTTACTACCGCATTCTTCACCACTGCCAAAATACAACCTGCCCGTTCGGCGCAAACTCTTGACGTCACCGGCACCGACCTACAACACCCGCCTTCCGCACTCTGGTCGGTCGAAATTCAACCGATTGTAATCACAAACACAGGGACCAGACCCAGACGTTACATGCAGTGAAATGATTGAGCGGCGTGTACGGATGGATAAGGCCAGGCTACTCTAAAAGGCTTTTAGGACACAAAGGCACACATGTCCAAAGCAGTAGGACCATGTGGAGGAGTCAGGACCATATGGATGACAGACCTGGAGAGAAGCGGACGCCGAACCACCAGGTGAAGGGCATGATGGAGTGATGGAACACATGGAGGAAGGTCACCTGACTGCCCTTCTTCCTCAGCACGAAGAAGATCTGTGGACCAGGAAACAGGGGGTTAGGACCAGGAACCAGTAACCAGAGGGAGAGGGTCAAGACCAGAGGGAGAGTGCTCTGGTCCTCGAGATCAGGAGTCGGAGGAGCAACTCACCGTGTCCAACATCTCGATGAACTTTGAGAAGTAGTAAAGCCAACACGTCGCCGCCATCTGCAGGAGAAACACATTTGCGTTTAAAGTGGTACCATCGAGAGGAGGTGCAGGTTTCCTCCAGGTGCCGCTCTTACCCTGTATCCCTGTGGAGTTTCATAGTCCACCAGGTCACAGTGGAACGAGTATCCGGTCCCCCATCCGGACATGACAAACTGAGGACAGAGGACAGACTTTAGAGCATCAGTAAAGAAAAGCAGAGATGGATCAGAAGGAGCAACAGCTCTAGTCTGAGCTCCGAGCAGTTAAAGTATTGTTATAAGTTATTTAGTAAATCTACATCAGTGAAAAAGTACACAGAGCCAGAGCCAGAGAGAGAGAGCCACACTGTAAATATTTTCATTATTGTATATGATGTTGGCACACACACACAGAGACACACACAGACACTGTGGGAACTTGTTTGACTGATTTAAAAATAGATTAAACTCTCAGTGGTTGGAAAATAATCAGGACTGTCAGCTTTATCTGAAGTTTCCAGATGATGTCAGAGGAAGTCCAAATAAGGCTCCAGGAAGTTTCAAAGACTGGGTTAGACCTGACGAGCGAGTGAAGGAGAGAGAGAGAGAGAGAGAGAGTGAGAGTGAAGGAGAGAGAGAGTGAGAGTGAGAGAGACTTTATACTTTTCATAGAACCCCTAAACAGACTCAAGAGAGCACAGGTACACAAACCTGAGAGACAGACAGCACAGGACCTCGTAGCACAGGCACAGAGACAGGTAGACACTGCCATAGCACAGGTACAGACTGACCTCGTAGCACAGGTACAGCGACAGGGCCACCACACTGAAGTTGTAGAGGATGAGGATGTTCTTGAGGTCGAAGGCCTTCCTGTTCTCCATGAGCCGAGGCCCGAGGACCGTCACGAACAGAATGTACCCCACGATGATGAGGCCCTGAGGGAACGGGGAGGACATGAAGAGCCAGTCCACCGTCCGGGAGTCTGCAGAGAGCACAGGTACAGGGTTCACACAGGAGCACAGGGACCATACATGAGGACAGTGTTCGCACAGGGACAGTGTTCGCACAGGGACAGTGTTCGCACAGGGACAGTGTTCGCACAGGGACAGTGTTCGCACAGGGACAGGGTTCGCACAGGGACAGGGTTCGCACAGGGACAGGGTTCGCACAGGGACAGGGTTCGCACAGGGACAGGGTTCGCACAGGAGCACAGGGTTCGCACAGGGACAGGGTTCGCACAGGGACAGGGTTCGCACAGGGACAGGGTTCGCACAGGGACAGGGTTCGCACAGGAGCACAGGGTTCGCACAGGAGCACAGGGTTCGCACAGGAGCACAGGGTTCGCACAGGAGCACAGGGTTCGCACAGGAGCACAGGGTTCGCACAGGAGCACAGGAGCACAGGGACAGTGTTCGCACAGGAGCACAGGGACAGTGTTCGCACAGGAGCACAGGGACAGTGTTCGCACAGGAGCACAGGGACAGTGTTCGCACAGGAGCACAGGGACAGTGTTCGCACAGGAGCACAGGGACAGTGTTCGCACAGGAGCACAGGGACAGTGTTCGCACAGGAGCACAGGGACAGTGTTCGCACAGGAGCACAGGGACAGTGTTCGCACAGGAGCACAGGGACAGTGTTCGCACAGGAGCACAGGGACAGTGTTCGCACAGGAGCACAGGGACAGTGTTCGCACAGGAGCACAGGGACAGTGTTCGCACAGGAGCACAGGGACAGTGTTCACACAGGAGCACAGGGACAGTGTTCACACAGGAGCACAGGGACAGTGTTCACACAGGAGCACAGGGACAGTGTTCACACAGGAGCACAGGGACAGTGTTCGCACAGGAGCACAGGGACAGTGTTCGCACAGGAGCACAGGGACAGTGTTCACACAGGAGCACAGGGACAGTGTTCACACAGGAGCACAGGGACAGTGTTCACACAGGAGCACAGGGACAGTGTTCACACAGGAGCACAGGGACAGTGTTCACACAGGAGCACAGGGACAGTGTTCACACAGGAGCACAGGGACAGTGTTCACACAGGAGCACAGGGACAGTGTTCACACAGGAGCACAGGGACAGTGTTCACAGGTGGAGCTTCAATCAGTTTTAGCTGAAGCACAACTTCAATGTTGTGGAGAGAACACCCGAAGAACAGTGGTGCGTATGAACTGAAACAATTTTGCATTTTTGTTATATTGTCGTGGCTATTAGCGCCCGCACAGTCTTGGCATTCATACTGACTGTTATTTCTTACATTTTAGGTTCAATCACAGAAATATATAATAGTTTTCCGAGTCTTCACGTTAGTCTAAGTCCAAGTCTCACCTGAGTTTGCGAGAAAACCATCGTAAGCGAGAAACACAGACTCCTTCACGTTGCTCAGTTCCATTCTGCAAAGAAAATACATGTTATGATGAGGGCAGCAAAGGATACAGTGTTTGGACCAGAGAGAGAGAGACGAGAGAGAGAGAGAGACTAGAGAGAGAGAGTGAGACCAGAGAGAGAGACCAGAGAGAGAGAGACAGTGTCCCCTACTGGTCCTGCTCCTCAGTCACATGACCAAAATTCCCCATCTTGTCAGGGAAATATTCTTTCCCTGACAAACAGACCAAGTTTCTGATCCACGTGGAGCCAGAGACACTTAAACACAGACGACGTAATCAAAGAAGGAGCAGTGGGAGCTTCATTCACCCGAACACAGCTCCACGGCTCGAGTCTGACCACATCCACAGCTGCGTCTGGTCTAAATCCTGGTGTTTTTGCTCAGTGTGAATGAGGCTTTTCTGCTACAGACAAAACCACAGTGAACAGTCCTGGCTCCATCAACAGGAGAGGTTACCACGGCAACCGCATCCCGGCCCAAACAGTCAAGTATTGCCTCTTACGGCTCGTCTCATTGGTTCCCACTGTAAGGAGTAAGACATCCATCAGGAGCCAAACCATGTGGGCAGAGAGACAGTGGTTTGCTCTGGTGCCTCACAGCAACATGGTCCCGGGTTGGATTCAACCACCAGTCCCCTGTGTGTGGAGTTTCCTCCAGGTGCTACGGTTTCACTAAAATCATGTACTAACCCGTGTGCAATAGTCCCCCC